CCTTGTAACTGTTTACCGTTATCGAAAAATAGATCAGGCTAACTCTGCAAAAATGGTCCGGGTTATAGAAAAAATCAACGGATTTTGTAACGGAGTGACATTCTTAAAGGTAAATGATAAGGCGCCTCATCTAGAGGTACTAAAAGGTTTACTGGGTCAATTTTCGATTCAACGTCAATGAATAAATCTATTTATATAAGTGCTGATATTCAAAGCAACATGGAGTACTAATGTATAAGTGGGCCACAGAAGAATTGTAGAGGGTGAACAAGTCTTCAATGTGCTTTTATTTAATGGCCACCCATTTATTTTTTAATCGGATAAGTTACCAAGTTGAAATACAGAATCAAGGATATGACGCGTGAGTACTAATAAATTTAAATTTAGCAGTATAAATCCAATAATTAACTCTAATTTTAATTAATAGTTAAAAAGTAATTTAGATAAACATAACTATCTAACTATTTTTAACGGTAACAATGTAATACATAAATCGGTAAGTGGGCGCCATTTTGGCCAATATTTTGGAGGTTATGCAATATATCAGCTTAAAGCTCCTACCTAACATGGAGTACTAATGTATAAGTGGGCCACAGAAGAATTGTAGAGGGTGAACAGGTCTTCAATGTGCTTTTATTTAATGGCCACCCATTTATTTTTTAATCGGATAAGTTACCAAGTTGAAATACAGAATCAAGGATATGACGCGTGAGTACTAATAAATTTAAATTTAGCAGTATAAATCCAATAATTAACTCTAATTTTAATTAATAGTTAAAAAGTAATTTAGATAAACATAACTATCTAACTATTTTTAACGGTAACAATGTAATACATAAATCGGTAAGTGGGCGCCATTTTGGCCAATATTTTGGAGGTTATGCAATATATCAGCTTAAAGCTCCTACCGAGTAACCTATTTTCATCACACTTCATCTCGCTTTGACGGCTTTTAGCTGAACAGCTGATTAGCAAGTGACATTTTTGTATAAGTCTGTACTGATGGCTTTAAATGAATCTGTTAAAACGCAGAACCATATTCAGAACAATTCACATCAAACACTGATACATTTTCTTCACAAACACAATTTTACTGAATGAAAATTTTGTGAATAAAATATATGAAGTGCACATGGAAAAATGATTATGTAATTATTATAGTACGTATGGGTTTTAATGATTACTAGGTAAATCAGAACAGACCACGTCAACACATAACACTGTCTGCAGACTTGTGACAGATCCGTCACCCGTCAATAATGAGTATTTTGAACGGCACTAGATAATTATTTATTGTCACATATTGATGTAATTCTCCACCTCAAAGTGAGGAGTATCAGTACATTTTAACTCAACAACTAAGTAGTAATCGAAATACTTATAATCATTTTGAAAGTGTCTCTTAGAATATGTAACGAAAATGATAATAATGAATAATGAAATTTTAGATACTGTATATTCGGATTGGCCTTTCTGTAAGAAGAAGATTGATGATGGATTATGACACTGTGTTTTGATTATTAATTGTTGAGTTAACTTGAGCCAGTAAAAGCAAAAAACTCTTATTTTGACAGCAACGTCGCTATTTTGATATATGTTATATAATGTAAGAATTGGGAGCTTTATAATAACGTATTAGATGAGAAAATGTTCTAAAATTTTACCCAGCCGACATCTTGAAATGTTCAACTACCCTAAAGTATGCTTGCAATCCTAACTAGGGCTGCCAAATCCAGACTTAGCATTTCCGGAACAATTCAAGGGAAACGGCAGTAATAAATGTATGAAAACAAATATCACAACCACGCGGCCGGTTATAGCCACTTGCTGTGGTACTGCAAGCTCCTGTGGTTAGATGTCGCCTTGTTTTCTAGCCATTTTATACTACAATGTGTATGTTGGCTCTTGTTGTTGACTTCGTGTGTGATTTTTTCCCTCTCCATCTTTGCTTCCTCAGGTTACACCCGTATCCGGATGTATGAGCATTTGCATCTACTTTTGTAGTTGCATATGTGCATTCATTGATGAAGCCAACCAGCAGAAATACGTATCGCTCGGGTTACCTATCCTATTTTCTGCTCGAATCCACTTTTCTTCTTTTTGCGGATTTTGCTTATTATTTTCCTAGTTTTTGTTATATACCTTTCTCCTCATGATCATTTTCTCTTTATATATATATATATATATTAAAGTAAACTTTAGCACACACAGAGTTACCTGTGTTGAAACTAAAATAAAGAAATATTCTTTTTCTCATAAAAATAATACTCATTCCAGGCTAAAACGAAAAATGAGCATCTCCTTATGGCTAATTAATAAAATAAACTTTGGTACAAGAACGACACCAGCTATCATAAAGAAAATACAGAACTATTCTTTGCGTGCGAATGATGTTGGTAATGGTGTTCGGATTCAAACGAACGTACTTGGCTGCACTTGTCAGCCGTGCGTTACGTGTAGTAATGACACCTCTAGTAATTTTGTGAACAAAGTAGTAGGTGTTCGGAATCAGGGACATTAAAGATTTGTTTCTGTACACGGTACAAGACGACAAATTCCGGGACATTTCCGAATTTCCCAGCCATCTGGCAAGCCCAAGCGTTTCAAAGAATAAATGGCGGAGCGTATTAAAGGAAAGCAGAAAAAGCACTGTACCCGTAAATTTATTTTTTCAATTTGTTCGCTTAACAACAAGCATATCTATTATTTATAATTTATATTCCTAGGTGAGGGGCATATAGATATTTTCATTCACCTTCAAGAATGTAACTGTTGTGAAATATGAATATACATTTTTCTTCAGAAACAATTACCTATCCTGGTCTATAATGGAGTAAGTACGGATCAGGTTGCATGTGCTTGTTAACTTGGATCTTCAATTATTTATCCAGAAAAGGTATTGGTAATATCAATTTTTAATGATCAGTCATCGTGATCCACGAGGTATTGCGGTGGATTTGTGGACACAAGCTTAGGCAGGATGTCATGACTGTGAAATGGTAATACATCATTAAACGGGTATGGGTTTAGTAGAGGCAGACATGTAGAAAAATAACTCCTTTATATAGGGGACAAAGCAGCCATTGCCGTACAAGCTTCGGTTATATAGCCAATAACCGGGCTCTATGTTTTCTGTTAAATGAAACCAAATATGTATGATTCATTCTTTCCCATCATATATGCGGTTTGATTCAATGGCCAGAAGTATGGAGAATTATCAACAAGAAATGTTACATTATCGAATTATCCTCAACGCCCTAGGTAATGCTTCAGGCGCCCTTTTTGGATTCCAACAATAATTTTATAATCTGCTTATATTTCTAATTAGACGGAAAATGGCTTCAAGTAAGCTGACTCTGCACTTCCGACGCAACGCTGCCAACAGTTCATAAAGGATTATGTTCGTCACAAGTTCTTCCCTCTGAGAAAAAAGATGGCTAAAAACATGTGTAACAAAAAAATGGGTAGATTAAGTCAGTCAAAAAGGCTAAACAATTATTCCATAGTATCCACCCATATGGTAACGTTGCGATCTAGAAATTTCTTCCCAACCCTACCGACAGTACCGGGCAGCTTGCAACGTTTCTATGACTAACCTCGCTACTCGCCATCAACAACAGCCACACACCGCTCAGACCGCGACGCTGGTATATCCAGAGAACCGTATATTGAAAATGATTCTCCATCATTCTAAGTTTTAAGGGCAAATACACGGAGAAATCTATGATGAGCGAAATATGTTTAATATGTGCGGAGAATTACCGGTATGTACTAAATCAATAATGGGTTCTCAAACGGTATATTTCACTGTCAACAGTAAAATACATATATCACTAGATTCTTTTTTACAAGATTTAAATATGTTCATTGTATGGCGTTTCATATTCATTTTACACATTCTTTGCAACACCTAGTATCCTGGTGTCAAACTGACAAACTCAAATGAGTGCTATAGGAAGCAGATTTGACCTGCGGACTGGTCCATTTGATTTTCAGAGGAGAGATAGGTGGCGAATGTTTGTTGGTTGTGTTTTCATTCTATTAGTATTAGAATCCGTTTTCCATTACTTTCCCGATTATTGAAATCTTCAAGAAGGGTAGCAGGGCGAGTTATATTCAACGTTAGCTAGATGTCACTTTATTTCAAATATTTTGGAATAAAAGGCTCAGTTTACAAACTGACAAAACGAAAATGAGAAACACATGTCTATCGGCTAGCATTTGTGACCTGTTACATAGAAGGTATTATAAATGGTTAAACTTGGGTATAGGACGTTATGCATGGAATTCGAATCTTGCGAATCCTTCTAGTGTAACCCCGAAAGTGCTATCATTTTGAGAATATTTTAATTGAATTGTTCCAACAATAAGTGCCAATCACATTTTGCGATTCTCTGACATCAACTTTTGAGGTACACGCCCACTGATGAGAGCTAAAAGCAGAGAAGCGAAATTCTTCTATAAAGCGAAGTGATGTATCCTGTCTGAGGTATGAAAATCGACACATATTTGCATCGCTTCGTCCCAGTGGACGCGCAACTTCAGAATAATCGATCACCCTAGTTCTTCATAACATATTTACATGCATCGGGAAAACATTGCGATATTTTCAATTTTCGCTTAAATCTAACAAATGACTTGCTGTTTCTGCATGGAATGTCAAGGTATTTGTATCTTTGGAACTATCATTTGATTGGAAAAGGAGTCGCAATGCTTATGAACTTTGTCTCCTTCACATACCTACATGACTCTGATTCAAAACGTTTGGTATTTGGATATTGAAAACCACCATGATCATTGATCTGTTGTCGATGGCGCCTTGTGACGATATACCTGGTTCGCTATGATAATTTATGACACTGTCATAATAAATTGATTATAGAGAATCAATAAAATTACATATCAAAATTATTATAGCCAATCAAGCGTCGAAACTCATTTAGAATCAGACCCCACACTCCAGGTTAAGTGATGTTTAAGTAGTGTTTATATTATTTCAGACACCATTCGGAACGAGTAGTTTTGCCGATTTGCTGAATGCGCCATTTTCGGAAGAGTCGAGCTCCATCATCCCTCCAGAGGATCTCAACCCTTTCGCGGACGTTGCTTTGCATTCGCAACCCCCTTCTCCTCTACCACTACCTAGTTTCCAAGTAAGTATCCACCTATTTTCTAACCAAACTCAAAAACCTTTAAAAATCACCTATGTTGCATGATGCTGATGCATATGTTAATGCATATACATTTAGACGTTTGGATTAGCTAAAACCGTATAAAATGGAAACGATGTCAAGTAGATTAACTCTGCACACAAAGCTGGCATCAGTTCGTACAGGATTAGGTCAGAACTAGATACAAACTTTCATAACAAAAAATCGAATGGATCAGGTCAGCTAAGCAAGCGCATACATTTAGTCCATACTTCATAGTCTCGATGGACCCCAACACTAGTCTCTTCCCTGCTCTAAGAATCGACCATCTGGCAACGGTGCAGAACCATACCGGTCAACCAAGCCATAAGCGCTGGCCACGATACTCGAGATCGAGAGCACCGGCGATACAGTCAGTCAGACGCAGACAGGATTCGGTTCATGGCGGTTTCCGTCACCTCGATCGACTGTGAGACGCTATGATGTGTGATTCATACAGTATAACGTACAAATTTTGTTAGCATACTCATAAAACCCTAGTGGCTTTTGTCTTGTTTACAAATATTACCGACTTATCGTGCTCGTTGCCCGTATTGTAGTTCCCCCCCAAAATCATTTTCTAGCCCCTTCTATAACGCGTACATTGTTTTTGATGAACATTTGCTCCTTGTAATTTGCTTTTAAATTTTTTCTACTGACACCTGCTCCAAATGAAGTATTTTTTATCTCTGCAGCTTTGATAAAGCATAATGGCTTCAAGCCGCTAAACACAATCAATAAACGCAGTTTGAAATGACATCTGAAACTGGTAATTTCTAGCCGCCAAATGGAATCACATATGCTTTATTCAAAATGTTGAAAGGTACTAGAGACCAGGTTGCTTCAATGGACTATTTTTCCAAGCCCATATACAAATTTCTATTCCTATGTATAAATACATTCATCACAGTTTTAAGATATGTTGGGCCCCTGGGCACACAGGAAGCTCGGGGCGGCGGCTGAATAGGTCCCAAGACAGAAGGAAATCCAGAACTTTACTTTGCTGTTAGGGAAGTCAATGAACGGACGTACCCAACATTTTTTTTTAATTTTTGGTGGCCTCCATCAAATTAAGCCACCATGTGCTCATAGCAGAATCATCTAAATTCTGAAATTTAATTGCAATATTAACCTCCTGTTCCAGGAAACCTACTCAATTCGTTACCAGCCCACCCCTCAGCCTGTGCCGTCGACACAACAGCCGCCACAAAAGATGGAAGAAGAATGCTTCAACGTAACAGCTGCTCCTACAACCGCCTATCATTCCCCCCACCACGAGTACCACAGTCAATTCCATCAGCCGCTGCCAGGGGCGGTATATGCAGGGGGCGGCGCCACAGGCGGAGAGGGTGGAGCCAGCCCTTACTATCCACCTCCGCCCACATGTGCCAGTGCTAGTGGCTTCGACCCCTTGATTGGACACGAGACGTACTCGTTGCCGGCGTCGTATCAAGCGGTGACAACAGAACTGCACATCAATACTCAGTTAGGGCCAAAACAGAGAAGAGCTTCATTGCCATTACAGAGGTAAGGAATTATTACGACTAAAAGGAACGGCTGCAGTAAGGTTGGATCACATGAAGATATTTTGAACAACCCTACCCAAAAAATCCATTCCAAAAATAGAAAAATAGCATAATTCCCGCAAAAGGGGTCTGGTTAACAATAGGTCACACTAAATCGATAAACAAGAGAAGTAATGTTACAAACATTTTGTCGGTCAATTAAAACAGACGAACAATGATTGTATTGATAAGTACGGGTGCGAAAGATTTCTAGAATCCGAAGCGTCTTCTTGGTATAGCTGAAAGACAAGGTAGAGTTAGAGCAGAAGCGTGGATTTACAGTACCGATTTTAGTTCCCCGAATATCAAACTTCTGGACTATGCTCCACGGGTAATTGTCTTAGATACTTTCCACCATTCATTAATCAGCGTTTTCTCTTCGACATATCTAGCTCCAACGACCTTTTTTAGAAAGGGCACAGTCAGCAAATTAATCGGTAGGACTCCAGCCACCACAAGCAGTGTTCATATTATTTGTAGATTCAGTTGCCTATGTTTCTTCTAGCTCAATACTAGAGTATTGGTAGATCATAAAATGACCTTCTATTAACCATATTCCAGTTTGTCACCTCTGTCAAAATCCTACTGTTCTTGTAGCTTGGTCCTCCGGCAAATATCATTCGCCTAATCAGTGGTGTGCCTTATGTACCTACTAAGTAATTTTCAGGTCTTTGTCGAGCTATATAGATAATTCATATAAAATTAAATACTTATTGAAAAATTTTATACATATTTACAAGGAGCCAACGGCATAGAAAATATGTTTTCCTTTTGGTAGAAAACATGTCCGTTTCTACACAGATGGCAAAGTTTGAATCCCTAAAATTTTTGTCGTCAATTCTGTAACTTGATTCACTCCGGATATATAAGAGTATTTTTTCCTATTTCGAGATTATGGCTTCAACACCCTATGTATGTCGGTAAGAGGCATTCTGTGACATACATAAATTTCTATAGGAACTGTTCCTTTTATTTTTGAATTCACTTTTTATCCTAGAAATATTGCCACTGCTTTTTAATCACCTTGTGGATAGACTGATATTCGCAAAGCAGGAAACACGCGTCAATCCACGAAGTAAGAAGAAAAGATTCAACTAATGTCAGATGGAAGATGAAGGACAAACACATCTTGAAATAACTTATAAAAACGATGTCTATCTAGGGTTATCTATCAAAAAATCTTTACCAAAGAACGATTACTCAGTTCAAATATCACGGCCAATAAGGGGGTTCTGCCCCGAGAATAACTCCAAAATTAAGTTGATCGCATCTATGAAGTTTTTCATTTAGCATTTCAGAACATATACAGGGTTGCCCATCCATTTGTGGACGCAATATTGCTCATAAACAAATACATCTTAAAAGATATATTTATAGCACGTTATACATGACATTTGAGGGCACATTTCTAAAATATTGGCAATAATATAGGGTGTCCCAGTTTTGACCTAAATATTAAAGTTGTGATTTTTTAAATGGAATGCCTCAAATTTTATTCCATATTTGGATAAGCCAATTCAAAAGACACAACTTTAATTTTGCCTTTATTTTACTACATGATTATCCTATTAAAGCTCAAAATTCGCAATTTTGGAATTTTTAATAAAATTTTAATAAAATCTGGAAAATGGGGTAAATAAAAAACAAGCCACTACAAAAACGAAAAAAAAATGTGTTTACAAAAGTTCAAAATACATATATTCTGAAAGATTTGAATGCGGATACGTCATAGATGCGATCAACTTGAATTTTGAGTTATTTTTGGGACCCAGAACCTCACTTATGAACCCTGATTATTCAGCAACGAGCATATACAACAGAAAAATGCAAACTGAAAACCAACTTATTCGTTTCCAGATCAGAGTCCACAAGTAGCAGCGAAAGTCCCAAGCTCCGTATGCCCACATCAATTATTCCCGCCCTCCCTGCGGCGTCCGCCTCTTCCTCAGCAGCCAGCAGTCCTGGAGGGGGGTGCGATGTCGCTCTCAAAAGTGGCCCCACCCCCTCATCGCCTTCTCAACTGTGTGCCGTTTGCGGAGATACGGCAGCATGCCAGCATTACGGGGTGCGCACATGTGAGGGGTGCAAGGGGTTCTTCAAGCGTACCGTCCAAAAAGGTAAACAATCAATTTCTTGGTGGAAGGTTAATTCTGATATTGGTCTTTACTAGATATAACAGCTAATTTACATTGCGATTTGTACCTTATTTCCATTTTTATCTTAGTTGAAAGGTAACTGGTAGCTGACATACGGTGAGGACCAAATTTTGTTGACGGACGCGAGTCCAATGTGTACGAGAGAGGAGTGGGAGAAGTGTGTGAGCTACATATAACTGAGTTATTGTTACATTTTGCGATAGCGCTGCGGTCGGAAAATGCAACGAATAACGTTAAGCGAATAACCAAATGAAAATGGTATTTACCATTTTGGATTGGAATTTAGCGATTCGTTCAAGCGAGTGCGGTTATCAGTTTGGTTATAAGATCCGTGACGTCATAAATCAGCTGTTATATGTCATAGTAATCACTGCAAAATTGTGGTATTTACCCAACTCAGGAGTAGTTTTATATTTCTGGTTGTTATTTGAAATGTGATAAGATAGATATTTGCCGGGTATTGGATATTTTTGTTGTACTTCAGCTTCATTTTTGGGAAAATTGATACAGGCTGACTTCAGTTGTAGCATGAAGTAGAGCATCTTATTAGTTATACTCATTACTGTTGTTGGGGACATTTTAAATCTAGTTCCTATGCTTAACAAAGTATCCTGCGTAGCTATATACCACAAGAATATTAAAATATGGCCATATAAAGTCACTGGATAATGTCCACCTGTATACGGTTTTTCCTGTCAGTTCTGCTAAATCAATAAATGTTTTCTTTGACATGCGGCAAAGTTTAGAGAATTGAAAGTTATAGCTGCAAAGCCATGATTCCATCATTAAAAATTATTTTCTGAAAAAAACATTTCTCCCATTAATATTATGAAAGGTTTCTTTTCTAAACTTTCCAGACACTGTTGCAAACGAAAAAGCACCGATTATTAAGTGATAATAAAAATAATCAAAAAATATATACGCGCTTTTCTAAAATAAACAACTTGCAACAAAACCGCGGTTAAAACCAACGCGTTCAAGCGATTCGAGTAACTGTTTCATCTTACATCATATTATAACCGCGGTACATAACACAGAAATTTTGGTTATTCGCTTGGATTTGATTTATGATCAGAGAGGTGGAAATCTTGCAAGATGCCTTGTTGTCAAACGAACCAATGATGCAATGTTGGAGAATTTGTGGCGTTCCTGACCTTGGATGGAGCGCCGTTAGGGCCGATCCGGGATCGATCCTAAGCAGATTCAACACAATTCAAAAGTAGTTACGCTCAAATTAAAACCATTATTTTGACGTAAAGGATAAACTAACGCATATTTTCAGTTATGCATCTTAATTAAAGGAACTTGTGTAAAATATTGGCAGCGCGGCAGATTGCTCTACTTTCTGCGTCACCGTAGCTAGGCAACAGACCGCGTTACACACTTCTCGCGCTTCTCTCTCGTAGGCAATCGGAAAAATATATTTAAAATCAGCAAACTGCAAGATAACGAGAAGGCATTTAGAGAAAAATAAAATGGCAAGCTTATTACGTAAAAAATTGTAATCTGACAGTTTCAGTAACAAACTTTGCACCAGGTACTATTCTGTTCAGGCAGCCCACACGCTGTGAACGATACCTATGAATATGAAGCATACTTTAGATATGGTATTAAGATCGCGTTTAGCTGCTTGTTCGCCCGGCAACAGGTATTTCTACAGCTTCAATTAAGATTGCTCACGATCTATAGAAACGGCGACCTTTGACTTTTTTTCCCATATATATAGAGAAGTAGACGAAAACAGATACGTTGCTGGACTATTTTTTGACCTTTCGAAAGCATTCGATATAATGGATATTTCGTTTATCGTGGAAAAATTGTACTGCTTAGGTATAAGGGATTTTATTCTCAGCTGGATCCAGTCTTTCCTCACAGATAGAAAATTGAAAACGAAGGTCAATGGTCATACGTCAACTCAATATTCCGTGAATATAGGTGCGTCACAAGGCTCAGTACTTGCACCACTGCTCTTCATTGTATACATAAATGACTTGAAATTGTCTGGCTCCATGATTAATTATGCGGATGACACATCCATCGTCGACAGTGCCACGACACCGCAGGATCTTCTGGAATCTATTGAGAAAGTCAAAAGTGAAATGAGCAAGTGGTACCAGTCTAACCGCCTCATTTTGAATGAAGATAAGACTGTTGAAATTCATTTCTTCAACAAGAAACCACGCATGGATATTGATAGCTTTTCAGATCAAACTGTCTTCTTAGGAACTCATGTTGATAGTAAGTTAAGCTGGCAACCACAAATATATCACATTTGCAACAAAATTAACAGTGCTTATTTTGCAATATTGAAATTGAAGCCTAACATCCATCTAAACTCACTCTTAGATATGTACTACGCGCTAGTTTATTCTCACCTCACTAACAATATAATCATATGGGGACAGGCCACAATGATTAACAGATTATTCATCCTGCAGAAAAGAGTACTTCGATTAATTTTTAATATTAATAAGAGGGACTCTTGTAAAGAAATATTTAGACGCTATAATCTGCTTACATTAACTTCCATCTATATCTACAAATGTACCATCTTCGCATTTGAACATAGCAATAGATTTGTTCGTAACAACGCCATTAATAGTCAATACAACACTAGAATAGGGCATGATCTGAGTATACCGACACAGAACTCTGCCCTATTCCAAAAATCTCCCACTCTAGCGTGCACTAAGGTATACAATAATCTGCCGAGTGAGTTGCGGAGAAGCACTAATATCCTTGCGCTGAAAAAACATCTCAGGAAATATCTGGTTGAAAAATGCTATTACTCTCTACATGAGTTTTACTAACACATGAAAGTATCTGTTTTTTAAATTCTTTTAAGCTGTTAATCATTTCGTTATCAGTGAATTGTCTATTATCGTGGAGTAAATGTATTTTAATTTCACTTTTTATTCGAGTTTTACCGAAAGTATGTATGTTTTCTTTTTAAGCTTTTAACCATTTGTCCTCACTACTCGATGTTTATTGTGTTTATATATTATGTATTTCTAACAGACTCTTCTACCGCTTTTCTTTTCTTTATATCAGCTTCAATGATTTTTACCGGCTAGACGAACATTCTTTGTGATAAAAAAAGTCGCTGTATATGTATATATTTTTACCGTTACAGATTGAACACATTACGATTCTTGCACTGTACCTGTGTACCTATAATGTGATTTAACATTTTAAAATGTTTTGTAATTGTAATGTCCTTATTTATTTTATAATTATAAGTATTTGCTCAAACGCATATATGACCCTCAAATTGATATTGACAAGTCTTATATGATGTAACGTGATCTAATAGGACAGTAAACTATCTATCTATCTATCTATCTAAGCAAATATGAATGCTTGCCAATTTTCCAGATTTTATTTTTGTTTATCTCTGTCGGACTTACCATGTCAGTTTCATAACTATGAAGAAAACACTAAAAATGCGTCATATGAGTACTAAAAATTAGTAAAAAAGCCTTTTTGGATGTTGCCCTAGAAGCATTAACTTTCAAGGTATACCACGTGAAAAAAAGTGCAAGCAAAAATAAGGATTTTGATGAAATTTCATGTTTTCAGCCAATTTGCGACCTTCGTCACCAGGAGTATTGCATTATTTCAATATTTAACAGTTTAAGAACCCTCTAACCTATAGAAATATCGATACAATATAATTGATTGTAATAAGTAGTCTAAATTCCAATAGACTTACGTAATTTGATCGTTCCAGGTTCCAAGTACGTCTGCCTTGCCGATAAAGCCTGTCCGGTAGACAAACGTCGACGGAATCGTTGCCAGTTCTGCCGATTCCAGAAGTGTCTTGCAGTTGGCATGGTGAAGGAAGTGGTGCGGACAGATTCTCTAAAAGGCAGAAGAGGCAGATTACCCTCAAAGCCTAAATCTCCACAGGAATCGCCCCCTAGCCCTCCAGTATCCCTCATCACGGCCTTAGTAAGAGCACACGTAGACACTACACCCGACCTGGCCAATTTGGATTACTCGCAGTATGTGGAGCCCAGTCCAATTGAACCGATTATATCCGAAGCGGAGAAAATACAGCAGTTCTATACGCTGCTCACCACATCAGTGGATGTTATCAGAAATTTCGCGGACAAAATTCCAGGGTAAGGATGAAGATGATAATAGTAGAATCCGTGTTTCAGGTTCCAGTATCTGGCTAATATACGGGGGCTTCTCCCTGTGCTCCGCCAGATTTGCAGAGGGATGGAGCACACAAATAATAATGTGAGAAATGCTTATAATAATATGACGCTATAAATAGCATCCTCCTACTTTTTGTACGACCCTTTAGAAAACAAATCATACAAAAGTTATGAAGCCTAATGTAAATTTTTCATGTAAATTCCTTTTGTTGTTGAATTTTTGAAATGCAGTACTCTGTACATATCTAGAGCAGGTAAATTCAGTTAAATAACTTAGCAAATAAATTGCTGTTATCAACGATTTGATAGATTTAGTTATGCGAGAGCTTTTTGGTTTAATTAAACTAGTTTCATAGATTCAAGTCAAATGTTGTAGAAATCGGAGTTCTTTTGGAGCAATTAAGCTTGTTAACTGTCACATAGTTTATTAAATTTTAATTGACCTAATTGAAATTTTAATGGGTTTGATTAATTTTTTTCTCAGTGCTTAGTGCATAGCGCGCCTGCTTGCTTGGATCATTTTCATTATTTTCTTTCATAGTCAACTGAAAACACGTATTTTTGCCTGTTTTTGACAGATTCCAAGAGATATGCCTTGAAGATAGAGAATTGCTATTCCAGTCCGCCTCCTTGGAGCTGTTCGTCCTTCGACTTGCTTATCGCACCCATCCCAGTGATACGAAGTTGACTTTCTGTAACGGTGTAGTATTGGACCTGCAGCAGTGCCAAAGATCATTCGGAGACTGGCTGCATGGAATCATAGAATTCTGCGCCGGTCTTCATTCCATGGAAATTGATATTTCTGCATTTGCGTGTCTGTGCGCCCTCACTTTGATTACGGGTAAGCCTTTTTTCATTTATTTAACTTTTTAAAGTAATTACAAAAGTGCAGCTGACAAAGATGACAAGTTGGCTAACAGTATATATGCAGGGTTACTGGTAATTCACTGTATTCTTTCGAGGAGGTGATAGTGGGCCTGAAATACAACAAACTTCACCCTATATACAGGGTACGCATGGTATATATATATATATATATATATTTTGAGACGTGGTCATTGTCGTCTAAACCAGTTAGGTTTATATTATTATATTTATACGAAAACAACAATTAGCAACATCCTCACATACTACTGTAAGTTGATTCAATTTAAATTCATTTTACACTTTTATTGCTACTGTTATCATTGTAATTGCAGCTCCTGATGATGATGGCAAAGTCCATTGAAAGCTAGAGAGAATTAAAAAAAGTATAAAGAGTCCTCTTTGCTTAAATTTTGTCGAAGTACCCAACAAAAGGCGGAAGCTTTAATTTTTCACCTATATATATACAGGGTGACTTCGAAGTTGAGTCATTTATTTTAACAGTGAGTAGATCTGATCAAAAGAAATGTTTTTTTCTTTTACCATTTTTCTGGTAAAATTAAAGTAACAAAGTTATAGCCCTTTGGAAGTTTGAGTACCGCGCTGCCTATTATATGCTCGTGTTTGGCGACAACGGATATAATCCGCCTGACCGGTTCATCGCATCGGAAACAAAAAAGCGAAAGAATTTGAAACGTTTATCACGATGTTTTTCGTCAGTCGATAAATCCTGAGTGAATAGTAGTATGTTGCGTGGCTCAAACGAAATCAAAAATGGCACATGTTTACGAAAATGCTGAACTTGTGGACATGATTCTTATTTACGGGGGGGCAGTCTTTACAAAATGCTCCCGGATGCATCACGGATTTATGCGAATCGGTTTCCCAATCGAGTGCAACCAACCCCTCGTGCCTTTGTTAATGTAGTGCAAAGGGCTCGTGAATCAGGTGACTCAAGACCTCACAGGTGAGGGCATGCTGCTCCAAGACCGCACGATCAAATACAGGTCCGCACTGAAATACTTGTCGGGAGGATACTTTATTAAACAAGGTAACATTTTTTTTTTATTTTTACACACATATTTTGGTTTATCTTCCTTCTACAATCATTATCTGAAAATTAATGACTCAACTTCAAAGTCACCCTGTATATACACCTTAGGAAAAACCATTGTTATACGTGGGAAATCATTTCTTGGCAACAGCGCAGACCTGTATCACGAATGAGAATAATAGGCAGATACGCTGTGTTGCCAATTTGAGTAGAGCTTCCCGAATTGTGGGGAATTTAGAGTTAAGTGTTGATTCATTCAAGCTTTTAATCAGCATGGCCTAGACGTTAGAACTTCATAAAGATAACATTGAAGCTGAATGCTGCTGGAGTATAGTGTTTCGAATATTCAAAGCGGAGCGGGACACTATACTCGTTCAATGAGTCATCAAGCCACAGTCTTTTCAACAAAGAAATTATTTTACGAAAATGCGTTATATTTTTACGATTTTGTCGTCACCAAATCTCTGTTTCTCAAAATGTACGTCTATTGTAGAATTTTCAGCAAACTAAGCAAGAAACGTGATCTAGTATTTACTCAACATTACGGATTTCTCGAAATATATTAAAAAATGTGACCTAGATACCTAACTGCCCCAAGCTCTTTAAATATAACACCTTAAACCAGGGTTACCAGGTGCTCAGTCACGTTGATTGTCATGTTGTACTGCGCAAGTCAGCAAACAATCTGGCGTAATAAACGTTAGGAATCATCAAGTATTGCCAGATTCCCGAATACCGGGCACCATAGTAACCGTTATAGTTGTCCTTCAAAGTTGTCAAATCGCCCCTATGGCGAAAATTCGCCACACCAGGCAACTGTGCTATAAACAAACCCTGTTTATCACTACTATTTGATAGTCATATGGTAGTTGTAGCCCTATCTAGCGGTCCATGATTTCTCTCAATACTGTTGTATCTCTACTGGCAACAAGAATAGGGATTACAAAATCATTTATACAACAATATACACACATGAAAAATATGATTTGAACCATGAAACATTAATACAATTTATTAATAAATTGCAACACCATAGCTATGTTTTCCACTGACTGATTTTGAAGAACTTGAAAATTTATCAACTATTGTGAAATATTGAGATTTCATCTTTCCTAATAACCTCCACATTATCTAACACGTGCCGGCCGACTGACACTCTCCAGTGACATGTGAAGTGTGACATTGATTATAATATATTATTACCTACCTCGGTGGTAGGATAACATCCAAATCACATTGCTTCCATAATGACATTTATTAGTTTGAAAATAACTCTGATCTTCATCGGATAACAAAACACACCCCCTCGTACTAGTTCACGGAACTTCCTACATAGTAGGCAACACACATCACAAGTACGAAACGTTCGATAGCGGGTCAATAATCAATGTCACACGTCATATGCCACTGGAGGATGTCAGTCGGCCGGCACGTCTTAGATAATGTGGAGATTATTAGGAAAGATGAAATCTCGAAGGATTTCTCAATAGTTAATAAATTGCAAGTTCTTCAAAGTCAGAGTCAGAGAAAAAACATAGGTGTTGCCATTTATTAATAAATTTAAAAAAAATTCGTCCTAATCGAACCTCATCGGTCCAGTTTTTTGTTAGTCAACTATGTGTTCTCTTTCACTGTCGTTTTAGAACAATTTCAGCAACAATCTCGCCGAATTAATTATTTTCCTCCTAATTGTTTATTGTTGCTTTTTTCAGAAATTGTTTTTTAGCTCCAAACGATGATGGCATAGACCATCGAAAGCTCGAGTTCAAGTTGTAAGGGTGTACTTATGCATAACTTTGCCTTCAACCCAAAGAAATTTAAGGATATATATATATATATATATATAAGAGTTAATCACAAAAATTGTACCTAACGATAAGCTCCCTACATAGAAAATAAATATTTGTATCTCTACAGGGTGATTCATAACTACGTGCCGCTGCTACATTTTATCGCAGATTTGGATAGGTACTTTCAAACGAAGCAATTGTATATACAATACTATAGGGTTTTATTTTCAAATTGATGAGATATTGGACAATCTATTGAGAGAAACAGTCAAATTCGACCCCTGCAGCTGTTCTAGAGTAATGAATTTTTTAGATTAGAAAACAAAAAAGAATTTCTTATGATTTTTTAAACTCTGTATATTTTCACATTCCTTGAATCTCCTTTCCACAGGATTTTTTCAATATAAGGTTTATGGTGATTTGTAGGACTGTGGTATTTGATTTACAGATAATATTTTTGTCAAATCACATGCCAAGGTAAATGAAAATATTGTAATGCCTTCCAATATCAAAAATATCAGTTAGCTACCCAGCCTTATGCAGTAAAGTCAAAAAATAAAGAAGGTGTATCTATGTCTTTAGTAAAAATCAGAAACCAATCGTCCAAACCCCCATGAGCCTGATATCAGGAAAAGGCTTGTGAAAGATGGAACTAACAAATGTGAAAATATGGAAGGTGTTCTTTTTGAAAATTCTGAGAAATACTTCATTTTGTCATCTTGCCCACCCGTATAAACTGTTCAAAAAACTGAAAACATGAGAAGATGGAAACAAAATATGGGATTTAAAGAATTTTTCAAAGAGAATTCAGTACTTTAGTTATAACAGTTACAGAGGTGCGAGTTGTAAAAGTTGAGTGAATTATTCGATGGATTGTCCAGCAATGGGTAAAACTGTATGTAACAACAAGTTGCCTCATTTGGAAGAGCCTATCCAAATCTGCTATAAAATGTGAGACTGCTCAGTTATGAAAATCAAAAGGATTGACTCAATGGTCTTGGTAAGAAACATGAAATCTCATAAAGAAGTGGTTTTTCGGCAAAGCCCCTAAGCCTATTTCTATTGTAAGTAAATTTAAAATTGATATTTTGGTGAATGTAGCAAAAAATATGAGAATAAAACAGTACAGGGAAACTGGTACTGTTTTTGGAATTGCTCATTCAAGTACCCGCTGTCAAGTACAATAACCACGTCCCGGACTTACGAAGTTCTTGCACTGAACGCGTATTGCGATTAATGAAACGTTTTTAGTAAAAAAACATGTTCATGTTGGTAAAAAATGGTTACTTTTTTGCACACACTGGTTGAATTGAATTAGCGGCGATATGCACGCCGAGGTAGATCAATAGATCTCTAGCTTTAAAATTAAGATACAACTATTTTGGGATTATCTACTAGATTATGTACAAGATTCTAAAAAATAAAAAGTAATGTTCATTTTGCGCAACCATGTATTATTTCTTTTGCAGAACGTCATGGCTTGAAGGAACCCCACAAAGTAGAACAGCTGCAGATGAAGATAATATCTTCTCTGCGTGACCACGTTACCTACAATGCGGAAGCCCAACGGAAAGCACACTACTTTAGTCGTCTGTTAGGAAAGCTGCCAGAACTCCGATCTCTGAGCGTCCAGGGCTTGCAGCGGATTTTCTACTTGAAGTTGGAAGACTTGGTCCCGGCGCCGCCGCTCATAGAAAGAATGTTTGTTGCTAGTTTACCCTTCTAAATAATCCTAAACTAAACTAATTGTAACAAAAATCTAACGTCCGGTCAAATTCTAAGTTGAAGTTTGGAGTGTGAGTGTGTGATTGTTGCAATTGATGGTGCCCTTTATTGAACCAAGGTAACTAGAATTTCAGAAAAAAATCTAGTAGACGGATTTTACAACATAAATAAATTCTTGGGGTTAAATGACTACAATTTTGCTAGACAACTTTTTTAGTAACCGTCAAAGTTGAGAAAATAACCTTTAACCATATATTCTAAGGTGTTGGTGAAACTGTGTCACGTGCCAAAATCACGTAACCTTTTTTTTACTATGTTGATCACTTATCAGTAATTTGAATTTCTCTTTATTAATGCTAGAGTGCCAATTTATAGGACCTAAACCCTTTTTAATGATTTTCTTTTGGCATATTTCAGAATTTATTGATTGTATAATTTTACACACAATATATCTTTCTTTCTCAGCAATTCAGTATTGTGTTGCAATCTTTTTGACACTAATGTTATAGTATTACTAACAACTATCTCAGAAATGTATCCTCTGTTCTAAAGTAAATAAAGTTATGGCAGCTCAAAAATCCATATCATGATCATTGCAATGTAGTGTCCAATAGAAGGAGACATGTAGGCACTGCTCCATATTTGAATACGTAATATGCTAAACAAAATCAAGAACACTCTAAGAATTTCAATTAGCAATAATCAATATATAAATACCTATAAAATGCCCAATTGAAATGATATTTTACCTGTTCAGATCAGGGTTTATTGTCAAGGGGAAGGGGTGGCCTCTAGCAAAGTCGGCTGCGGCACAGCTCCAAGGCAGCTACAAAACAAAGCTGAAGGAGTGTGAATGGTGGTTCTCAGCAATGCTTACCCACTAAAAGGAAGCAGAGATTGAACAAAGTTCTTCAGGGCATGCATTAATGGACGTGGTCCGATGGTATACAAAAGACAACTTACCGCTGCAGGTTAAAATCCCATCAGAAAATGGACGGGGTAGCACCCAAACCAAAACAACTAAACGTAAGGTACCAAATAAAAGATGCTACTCCATGATCTGGTGTTTGCGGGTCTAAATCCCAGAATCTAGAAGCTAACGAAGCAACCCACCCACAACCAAACTTCAGCAGAAAGAAAAGAAAAATGGCGCTGGAGGCGTCGGTACACGCAAGTTTTTAAAACAAAGTATCTTGATAAGACCAAGTATCCCTATATGGCTAGTACGTAAAGAAATCACAAGGTGGCGCTGGTCGCCAATGAGCGAAACCAACTCTACGAGGGACCAACGATATTTCTTGGGGCAATTTCTGAGTTAGTCGTTAGTAATACCATAACATTAGTGTCCAAAAGATTTCAACACAATACTGAATCGCCGAGAAAGGAAGATATATTACATGTGAAATTATACAATCAATAAACTATGAAATTTGACAAAAGAAAATCATTAAAAAGGGTTTGTCCTAGAAATCGGTACTCTACCATTAATAAAGAGAAATTCAAACTACTGATAAGTGATCAACATGGTAAAAAAAGGTTACGTAACAACTGCTTTTGAGGGAAGTTGTAGAGCATGTAACCACCTTCAAATGAGAACTCACATGTTTAATTTGCTGTAGCGGTTAATCCTTTTATTCCAAAAATTTTCTTCAATTTTCAAATTTATTTTTTGGTATACAATATTGAAATGATCACTCAATGTGATCAAGTCATTTCATTAGTTTATTTTGCAGGGCTCCCGATGTCCTAGATAACAAATATCCAAGTACATATAGCAATTATAATAATGAATGCAAATATTTTTTTATAAACTCGGGACACGACTAATTCTTTTACGTGAACTGATTCTGGATTTTTTATTTTTAGATATTTTGATAAATATCGGAATCTAAAGATTAACTTATCTGTTGTCACTTTATAAGACTGATAAGATGGCATTTATACATGTTAAGCTTTATTAGGACGATGAAGTTTCTAAATACGGCCTTTTCTTGAGTTATATGATATAATACTTATATAACACTAAAAACAGTTTAAATACCTTTTTGGCACATTCTATAGTCTTGAATAATAGATTAATACCAAAGTGAAACTATATATTTCTTTTTTGAATCACTGCAAATCAGAGAAAGATCTATCTTTCAATTAGAAATCGTGTAAGAAGTGGGAGTCCCAAAGCAACAATTCATCTATACGACGACAGGTATTGCCAGTCAAAGGCGCCGTTAGGAAAAATTACACTGTGAAACCACACCTACAAGTATCTGATAAAGTTCCACAATAAAGACACATATATTATAACTAAAATAGGCGGCATTACTATATTGCCCGAACTGCACATGCGTACAGATCTCAACTTTGATGCGCAAAAATTAATTTTCGTAAAAGCATTACTTGGAACATAAGCTATCGACAAACATCACAACACTTTGGGCAAACTCACCTTTCAATCTGATATAGATTTTACCGGACATCTAACTACTAGAAATCGTGATAAAACATGTTCGATGTGATTTTTGTTAGTATTTAAATATAAAAACATTATATTTTAAATTTAGCACAATTTAAGCATAATCTAGAATGATTGTGTTAATGGTTTTTCTGATGTACATACAGGGGCTCCAACGAAGGTGAAAAGTATAGGACTATGGGAAAACTATTGAAATTAATAGAGTATTGGGTAGTCACTTTACGAAACTTTGACCTTATCCATGTTTAAAATGTATCACACTATCAAAATACGTGACTTAAGTCAAATAACGTTAACGTTAACAATTAGAATTGCCTTAAATTAATTACATACAGGGTACGCGGTTGCCACTCCAAAATAAGATCAATAAATGATACGGGACTTTAAGATTTTGCTGCTGTACTCGTATCAGCTTTTCATTTAAAGTAAAAACTGCAGACTTTCTTGAATTGAAAGCTAGATTGAGAGGTTATTAGGAAGGAACCAGGTCGCTACTAAAACCCCAATCCCACTTTCTTGTTATAAAAACCTCTGTCCAAAGTAACAAAATATATGGCGTTCGAAAAACGTATGTTTGTTATGTCACGAAGTTTTCAGTAATCTATAAACGTATCTATAACATATGCAGTGAAAACCGTTTTTGAATGTCTTGTGTCATTTTCTTACTTTCCATTTTCGTTGAGACATTCTGTGTATGTATTCTACTATTAAATGTTCATTAGCAATCCTTTACTCGAGAGAAAATAAGTGCTATTTTTAACGTTTTTCATAGGAAGGTAGCAACTGCAAATCCACATATTCTGGTAGTAAATTTTGAATACGATGCAACAACAACAAGTTGCATGTCCAAAAATCTAGCAATTTTCAAAGTAGGTTGGCTCTGATCTATTCTAATCCTTTTTCCGTATATGTGCATGCTTATTTTTTTCGAGATTTCCACAAATTGTTAAGCCCCAGAATCTTCTACTACGCTTCAAGTGATCAGAACTCTGGGTTGTAGAGTTATATTATTTCTGAATGAAAACATTGCACCGGCGGAACAAAAACAAAGGAATATTGAATCTCCCAAACTTTTTTTTCTTACGAACGTACATTTACTAAGCAGTAAGAAACGTGAATTTGGAGAGACCGATAATTTTCGAACAGTTTAGACCTCTATGCAAATTTAAAGTTACATGGAAACTAGCAAAAAGGTATGTCTTGTTGTATCTCGGAAAAAGAAAGAATTGGATGATTGAACAAGGAGTTTGTATCAATATCATATACATACAAGTACACTTTACAATCTACTACATGAGCAGCTCATGTATTTTTAAAATGATGCACATCAAATGCTTTTCAATAGGTATTAACGTCTGAAGAATTCAAATCATGATCATTAATTTGCGGTTGCTATCGGAACTGAATGCGAAATCGCTTATTTCAAACGCACAAGGAAGGTGATATCTTCTATAGATGCCAGATAAGTTGATTAAAGATGATTGGTAGAGGAAAGTGCCCAAAACCGGAACCACATTTTGTTACTGATTTGAAAAAAATGAAAAATACCGTAATTTCCACAAACCTTACTACCACTGATTTAAGACCTCGGTAGAAAAACCGGACCCCTAGTAAAAATCAGTCAGCCAAAATTTTATTCATAATCAAGGATACATAATCTACTAAACAGTCACTTAATAAAAAGAATCATACGAGAACTTTGTCCTAGTCCCTGCATTCTTCCATCCCATCTTCCTATACCGAAAGTCGGTATTGGTAGGGGTCCGGTTGCGCAACTAAAACTGAAAACTTGTGTATGGAATAAAATGTCAATCGATCATCTAAGTGAACTAATTTTTTACCTAGGCTAATATTTTCACTGACGGAGTATCAGATAATGCCGAGCCAATGAGATCGGGGGTTCTCTTTAGGAGGGGAGTGCGGATTATGACACTTTCCTCTATACTATCGTTAGGCTAACAGAAGTCAATCACCAACAATTACGCACTATAATACTTTATTCCTAATTTCGATCTCAGAGGTTACGCTTAACGATGTCTGCACCCAATGTTACCATAATTTGTTCTCGATTAGGTATGAAACTGCTACTATTATCCAGTAAGTGAGCTAAAATAGTATAAAAGTGTGACTCAAATTGCAGCCAAGAAATGATACCCTTGCCAATAGTAATAAGTGATATATACCATCGCGCAATCGCAGTCCATTTTGAGATATACTTATGCTCTAGATCCAGAGGATATTGACTTTTAGGTGTGTTTATCCCGATACCTATATCGGGGAGTGTTATCTTGACGGAGTATATTACACGTAAGGGGAAAAATAATAATACGGATTTTTTACAATTTATTTTACTATATATATACTACTTGTCTCCTATCTAATTCCATAGATTACGTGAGTATTTCTTACAGGGTTAATACGAAATGCTGAAAACACCGTCGGTCACGATGTGACATTTTTATTTATTTCCAAAAAAACTCTTACTCAACGCATAATTTTTCTGAAAATTGAAATAATGATTGTTGGTAATTTTTTTGCATTCAACATAGATTTCTGCTCTGTTCAGCTGAGGAACAACTTACATATGTTATTATGTAAGTACAGTGCATCCAATATAATGATAGACACAAAAAGAAAGAATAAGTAGTACCTACACTTATATGATTCCTTTTCAGAAGTCATTCAAATCTAAGCTTCTGTTAATAACCTCTGAATAATTTTCTCTAATATTGTATTTCTTCTTACACATCTGCAAGAGAATCCTATGGTGTCCAACTTGAACGAGACGATAAAATCCTCACAGTAAAATTCAAAATATGTATCAAACATAAGGTATGCTGCAAATAATTCACAATGTTGCGTATATTTATTTCCCTGGGCACTGTAACCTGCAGCTCTGCTGGGGATCTTTATCGATGTATTTTTACATTCTTGGACGATACAATGACGGTAATTACTATACTTACAAGTGGTACGACATTAGAATAACTAACAGAACGAATATTAACGATTCAAGACCTACTTAAAAACAGTGTCAACTAGCCAATTGTGTTGTGTTTAAGGCAATGAAATAATCTTAGGGTGATTGTTCATTTTATATTAAGAAATACATCTTGTGTGACGAAAGATCGACAAAGAATAGTTTTCAAAAAGGAGAGTGCCCAAAATGTTCCCAGAAAATGCTTTCCATCAAGTATCTTGAGAATTAAGGAGGGCTCGCCAATGACTAATACTCCTCATTTTGGATTTCTTTCAAGTATGCCACAGGTCATTTATGAATTTGAGAGTTGCATGTGATAGAACAGCGTCAGAAACATTGTGTGCTTCTTGCACGTTTACGTGTCTAGGTTGTCTTTTAACAAAAAAAAGACGGAACTGTTTTCGGAAAATGAGCACAGGGGTTATGAGAGACATAAAAAGAGTATTTTGTGTCGTTTGATGAGATAATAGTATGCGGTCCATAAGAAGTCAGTGTTGTACTTGGAAAAATCTTAGAATTCAGGACTAAAGCCCCTGAGTTAAATTCATAGACCAGCCCGAGCTAACTGTTTCAATTCTGACTTTACTTTAGACGTTCATCAAGGACTGGCATTTAATTGTCGCTGGGTTTATGACTGCTGGAGCTACATACCTACCCTAGGTTGGGACTTATGCCTAGCCTCGAGGACATCATTAAAAAATATTCGACATGAGCAGGTCAGTTCACTTGTCGCTAACTTTCTCATACTAGACGTTTCATGATATAACATAACATAACTTTTATGTAAAACGAGTGTTTTTATGGTTTAGCCATCAGGCGCAGCATCATCATCAGAATCAGATTCCTAAAACTACTTTTCAAGTGAAATTAGGTTTGTTCACTCTATCATTGGTATATAGCTCCACATTAACAAACAGCTCTTTTGCAAACGAAGACATAGAAAATCCTCAAATTTGGCGATCCGTCAACCTAAACTCCGAATAAAAAATATGAAATACGCAAGCAATCAATTACGGGATTATCCGATCATCGACATATAATAACCCAACCTCTACTGAACCTCTACTTTTACCCAGCCTTTTCTAACCCATCTCTACTCCAAGTCAAACACCATGAACGCAGCCCTGGAAGCTAACAAATATTACGAAATAATGCAGAATCAGATACCATAAGTGTAAATACTTCAGTGGTTGTGACTTAAACATCTTAAAAATCTTCTCATTGTATGAAAAGACATATTCCAGATGATACATCATTTATTGCTATTGGTTCGGATACCAGACACCATGTATTTTTGCCTATCCTCCTTTAAGCGGTTTTCGTGACACCTAATCTTTAAAAAGCTTATTTCAAGTATTGTAAGAAATCGTCATTTGCGCCGAACTGAGGCATTTAGACATCCGAATGTACTTCTAAATTATTAGATAGGTACTTTTTCCAAGGATATATACCTATTTATAATGATTTGGTCTCACGTATACACATGGTGATGCTGATTTCAAATAGATACCTACTTAGATATGCACCTTCCATCGAAAGTAATTATATTTATATTATACATATACATTTATGTATTTAATCTATTTTGCTAGTGAGATTTTACAAAAGCTTTTTCATTCTTTCAGAGCTATTTTTAAGTAATCTATCTATTTATTTACTAGTACAAAATTGAACCATGTTCAACTCGATATTTTATTTATAATTTTTTCAGAACGGTTTACCTTAAACAAACATGTGTATTATACATTTTCATACTTTTATCGTCTTTTGTACACAATTTTCAAGATGTGAGCTTATAATTTATACATTTTTAACGTCTGGTATGAGGGAAATTTGGAAAATATTGAATTAAGTGATGTCAAATATGAGACCAATAAATGTCATCACACAAGTGGAAAATAAATAATATTAACATATCGAAACTAATATGTAGTTAAAAAGATACGTTAAGTCCCAATATCTCCTCGTACCTCTATACATGTATACTTTTTGGAAACTTCTACATATAATATACCTATTTAAGCAGTGGTGAAAGAGTGGGGCTTATGATTTAAAAAATTGTGTATAGATCTTATTGATTTATATGGTGCTAGAGAATATTTCAGGCTGTTTTGTCCAGTTGGTAACGGTTTTAACTCTAAATTTTGATATCTAGAGTAAATTCGGCATATATGGAATACCAATTATTCGTATAGCGGTAACATCAAAACTGAAGTGTTTGGAGCTGCAATATTTCATTAATAAATAGTTCTAAGTATCTCCAAGGAGTGGCAGGTGCTAAATTAAAAATTAAATCATATTCGATAATTTTACGAAAACATTTTTGTTTTTGTTGGAAAATAAAAAATGGAGGGTAATATGGAACGAGCATATCGGGTAATATGGAATAGACTTATTATACGCAAAAAACACTAAAACCATTTAACTTCAGAACATCGGTATACTCGTATATAGACTTCGAAGTTGAGTCATTTATTTTAACAGTGAGTAGATCTGATCAAAAGAAATGTTTTTTCCTTTACCATTTTTCTGGTAAAATTAAAGTAACAAAGTTATAGCCCTTTGGAAGTTTGAGTACCGCCCTGTCTCAATAATAATATTATGTGCTCGTGTTTGGCGACAACGGATATAATCCGCCGTATCGGTTCATCGCATCGGAAACAAAAAAGCGAAAGAATTTGGAATGATGTTTTTACAATTATTTTATTCATTTGTATACAGTCAGTGTCAGTAAATAGTGGTGTCTGTTGCGTGGCTCAAACGAAATAAAAAATGGCACATGTTTATGCGGATCGGTTTCCCAATCGAGTACAACCAACCCCTCGTGCCTTTGTTAATGTAGTACAACGGGCTCGTAAATCAGGTGACGGCATGCCGGTGCTCCAAGACCTCACGATCAAATACAGGTCCGCACTGAAATATTTGTCGGGAGGATACTTTATAAAACAAGGTAATATTTTTTTTATAATTTTTTTTTTATTTTTACACACATATTTTGGTTTATCTTCCTTCTACAATCATTATCTGAAAATTAATGACTCAACTTTCTAAGTCACCCTGTATATAAATATATCTAAGTATATCTAGGAATCGCAAAAATCGCAAACAGAAACATCTTTTTCTGCACTGGTACAAGCTTCGTGAGCCCAATTATAGCAGATTACGTATTGCACCCATATTTCTTTACTTCGGCTCGAGGAAAACTTTTCCAGGCAAAAAATACATGGGACATCTTCACCGGTTGGCTTTTTATTGTAGCAGCTTAATGGCAGATCTTCATCAGATGAGTCATCAACTACTGCTTCAGATTGTGAATCAGAAGAACTAGAGGAGACATATTTTTTTGTGACTTTACGCTTTTTGTTTTTTAATCCACTAGGTCCAGGTTCATCGAAAACGTTTCGTATAACTTTTTGTTTTGAGAGATTAATTGATTGCTCTAATTCCTCCTTATTGGGCGTCGACGTAATTATTTTAGTACGCCCACATTTCCTTCCCCGAGTTGCCGGCTTCTTTGTTAGTTCTGGCACTGGAACTATGTCACTAGGATAAACATTAGGCGAGTTATTTTGCTCGTTATGAGCACGTGTGTTATTGTTCGGCAAATTTTGATTTTCCTTTTGCATTTCGGCCGCAAACTCTTCTTCTGTAAAAATATTCCTTCCTAAAGGGTAGATCCCAGTGGCACTAAACCCTTTAACGGCTCTTTCCCCAGATTGCACTTTAAGATAGGCGCTACCAAATAACTGGCAAATATCAAAATGCGTTACTGCACGTTTTTCCATCCTCATGAAGATTCTCACTTCTTCGTCATAAATCGTCTTTAATGCACCCATGACGGTCTTATCAAGGGGCTGAAGTTTATGCGTCGTATGTGGTGGTAGGCATAAAATAGTAGTCTTTAGCTTTGATAAGTACATCTAGATTTCTTGTATGAGTATGATGGCCGTCTAATATCAGCAGTATGGGTTTTGTTGCTGAAGGTTTGACTTTTTATAGGAAATGGTCAAACCATTTTGTGAATAAGTCTGTTTGAATCCACCCGGATGGATGAAAAGCAAACATCGATCCTGGAGGTGCCCCCTTTTTTAGCTGGTCACTGGCTTTCTTGCGTGGAAAGATGATCATCGGTGGCACAAAATCACCTGCCGCACTCATACACATTACGATGGTTATAAGTGAACCTCTTTCTGCAGATGTGATAGCACCAACTTGTCGTTTGCCTCTAAGCGATACCACTTCTGGACATCTTGATTGCACAATGGACAACCCCGACTCATCTACGTTATATATTTGGTGAGGTCCATAATTTCGCTCCGCCATAGTCTTCTCTAATAAGTCGAAAAACTCGGTAACATTTTCCTTATTAAAACCAACGGCTCTTGCTAGGGAAGTTCCAGTGGGCTTTCGTAAACTTAGTGTATTCTTATGCCTGTGCATGAATGATGGAAACCAATCTTTTCCCGCAGATTCACGTAAAAGAGAGAATGGATGTGGTATATTGTTACGTTTAGCAAGTTGGAATGCTAAGGATCGAACATCCCTTCTTGTCAGACCAAAAAACTTCTGATCCATTATAAGTAAATATCGTATTAGTTCCTCTTCTAACTCCGCTGACAAAATTGGTCTTTTACCCAACTTCGTTTTACTAACAGTTGCTGGAGGCCCTTCAGTATTACAGAGGCAAAAAAGTGTTGAGCGTGGAACTTTATATGCTCTTGCTGCGGCCAAATAACCCATATTTTGGTTTCTTACTGATCCAATGGCGTTTTCCATATCTTTCTCACTCCATTGTTTCCGCTTTTGCTTTAAGGGAGAAGCCATTATATATGAAAATAAAAAACCTTACTTTATACTTAGCGGGTAATATGGGATAGCAATAGGGCGGATAATATGGAAAATTCCATATTACACGCTACACAAAAAGTACACAAAACAAGTATCTACTCTATTTGTTATCATGAAAAATATCAAAGCAACTCGTTAAAATTTCTACCATATTATGCCTAAACCAACTTCCCTTGTGCTTAATCAACTTTATTTAAACAAAATGTAGTCACAAAACGATTTTAATTGACACCGTGCACAAACTTTAAACATGTGGAAACCATAACCTCAACTTTTTCGGCGTTGCTAGCGTCTAGCGGCAATTTTATTTCATGCCAACAGTCTACGATTTTAACAAGAATTTAATGTCGTCATCACCTTAGAGATGGAGCCACCCGTTTTAAAATTATGGAAAATTCCATATAACCCGACTATTCCATATATGCCGACTTTACTCTATCATTGTTTGCTAAAGTAGATACTAAGATGCTTGAAATGTAAGATCATCATTTTCTCGTATCTGCCAAGAGATTAAAGCTAATCCGAAAATCACAGTAACATAAAAAGAAATATTAAAAAAGCTTTTTGGTGAATTCGACATTCAAATACAAAACGAATTTAGAAATTACAATGTTTCTACTCAGTTCGCACAGAAATCCACTAAATCACTTACCTTTGATTTTTGATTTTACTGATTTATTACAAAACAGTAAAACACCGGAACAATTATCAGACATTGTATTCTACAATAGACTTCTGTCAATATTTTTATGGCCCACAGAAAATGAAGAATATATTATGATTTAATCTGCATGGAATGATTTCAAAACTAATTTTCTGCTACCTTATACAAACATTCAGTCATAATGAAAAACTAAGAACATGATTATTCAGAAAAATATATAGTACTAAAATTCCCAACTTCAGTTCAAAAACAGATGAAATTAAGCTTTACCTGTATCGGGTAGAAATCAACTGATGAAAATGATTTTTCATTTGATACGGGTCAGATGGAAAATATTTTATTTGGAATCTCGTCCTGAAGCTGTGTGCCTTTGAATGAGGAAAATCATTCCCAAAATTCCCTCCACTATGAGATTATATGAAATTGGTAATCGTCTCATCTATAATGGAAATCAGCCTTTGTCAGATTGAATACTCTTCTATAGGTGTAAGATGTAACGTCACTATGTGTATAACAAAAACGAGTATCTTCACACGAAATGTATAAAATGCGTATCTCCAAGAAAAAGGAAATGTTAGGCAAAACTGAATATATATTTTTGGTAGATCTGTCAAGCTTGCTCGTTAGAATAAGGTATAGTATATTTATGTATTTTCACTCAATGAGTGACAGAAGGTGGCAAATATTGAGAAAAGGGTGACGGTTGTAACTTCTACTTGCTTCTACAGAATCACCCGCAAAAAATTGCGATATGTAGCGGAAATGGTGGATGTTTGGCTATAGCGCTCTCTAGTAGCTTGTTCCGCAATAAAACTACACAAAAGGGTCAACTGAAATAAATAGAAGTGTCCTCTACAACTAAACTTTAGCTATCTAGCTCGCACCTTATCCACAAAGCTTTCAAAGTCACAAAGCGAACACATTTTTAATATTCTGTGTGAGATAGGACTCAACGACGTATTATACCGGGTGTAACAAAAGTAACGGAACAGCTGTGTATTTTCCGTATAAGGTATTTTTGAAAAACTTTGACGTTCTAATACATTCTTATGTACTATTATGACTTCGAAGGTGAGGTTCAAGGTCAAAGTCATCGTCAATATTGAACTCCTTGTTTAGCTACACTTTTAACCTATTGACCTTCAAATATGACCTTTGAAAAAGTTAATCATGATATAACCTGGGAAATAAACCTCAAAGTCAAATTCAAGGGAACATTAACCTCTTTGTTCAAACTGTTGTTTGTTTGATGACAATGTGGTTGATTGAGATGTTGTTTCTCGGACTTCCATTGTCTATAAGGTTTTTTGATTGACGACGTGAAGACAGAGAAACAACATCTCATTCCTTGTTCAAACTTAGCAAAGACTCGAACTTGATCTTTTTCACAAATAGCTTACCTGGCAAAATATTCGGGGTGGCCGCAAAGTTGGGACTTTCCTTTACACGGCGTATACTCGTAGATCTTGTAAAAATAACTATGTTCCTCTAGTAACATATACACCAAACCTGTTAGGCTTGGCAAAATCAATCAAACCTAAACAAAACCTAATCCGGTCCTGCATCTCTCTCATATGAAACGTGAACACGTCTACAATACCCATCAGTACTCAATCGGCGGCGGTTCTAAAAAACAAAAATGGGATCCTCATACAGCAATGGCGGAGGTGTCGATATTATTTTAATTTGCGGTGTCTTCGAAATGCTATCGAGGCTTCGTGAGAGCATGCAGATCGTTTTTAAACATCCTTCGTGATTGCCTTTTTTATTTGGGGCGAAATGAAATACTGTCTTTGAATCTATCGCAGACAACTTTGAACTATACTTACAAGTGACAGAGATGTTCTTGAGATTTCTATTCATTGAACGATGATTACGTTTTCATTAATTTACTTATTAGCTGTTGTTTCACCATGCATTATCTTTGTTATTTCAAGCGTAGTTGCTTCTAAAAAGGAAAGTTTCAACTTCCAAGGCACCCACTATAGCTGCTACGGTAGAGCGCTGCAGACAAAATAACTATAGTTTGAAAATTTACTATATACTGTGTCGGTAAAGTATGCGACCAAACCTGAAGTGATAATGATCGATAATGATTCGTTCAGAAAATAGAGGGTGTCAAACTTTATTGAAGTGTCTATTTTTCGTTAAGATCTTAGTCATTTTGAATTTGGTTTTGTTCAAATTGATTGGATTCTCTCGTAGACAGATGTAACGCAAGATATTTGAATTGAATCATAAATGGAAACGAACATTTTAACGGATTTGAATCCGGTAATGAACCCTTATTTGTGGTTCAATTAAACCTTTTTTCTTTCTATAATAAAGCATTACCGGACCTATGTTTCTATATAGTTTTCCATTCCCCCGGGGTGGGTGCTCTAATGTAAACAAAAGGCTTCTCAAAAAGTTGCTGCAGTGAGGTATTTCACAGAACCTTCGATGAGACCAGGTAGAAAACAGCTATTTATTAAAAACGATATTTTTTAGCATTTCTTTTTTAATTTATCGTTTACAGCCAAACCACCGTTTTCAATACATCTGTGCTACACTAATGGTAAGAGTTTATAGTTTTCTGCTTGATGTATATAGAACTGCAATATACTTAAGTTCAGATGAACCCATTTGCTTTGGACTTGTAAACAAAATCTAGTCAAATATGGATAAAATCCATATGTTCCTTGAAAAAAAAGACAAAGAATGTGTGAGAGTATACTCATACAACAAAATTGGTATAATTATTTGATTCATAACTATTCTGAATATCTTATTTTAGAGATACTAATTCTGTTACCCAATTTTAAGCATAGTAGTTAGTGGATCTATTCGGATATTTTATAATGACTCTTACCATCACCTACGATTTAGTATATTTAGATTATCTATAGCTTCATAATTTACTATACACTTGTAACTATTTTAAGCGTTATTTCATATATGTATTTTATTCGTCTGGCTGCCTCACTAGAACTTAAATGTTAATATTTATTTTCGCTGATATTTTTTGAGCATCTATTATGATACCAGTGCTCTTTCACCTACTATTTTTGTGTTTCAGTGTACTTAAATATTATTATTGTTTTTATATATAGTATATACATATATACATTTTTTAATGTTGTGTAAAAATGTTGTCACTTGCCATGATGCTTAGATTTTATGATTTTTTTATCGTCCTGCATAGTGTTACCATCTTACCTTCGTAAATTATTTCGTTACCAATAAAAGGATCAACAAATCTCAGTGAGTGTTATTTATCTATATCAACACCTAGGCAGATAAGTTATATACCGAATGTTTCAAATCAGACTCTCGCCATTAGTAACTTGGAAACGGTAAGTCAGTTCAAAGGGGGCAAAAGTTGCGCATTTAAGTAACTAAAAAAACTGGCACTTAGAACGTTTCGAAATTCGTAGAGTTTCCAGAGACAGAAGGAAAAAATAATGTACTCAATTCTTTTTTTGTTTTTTCATGACCTTACTTGAGATGGCATTTGAAAACAAATTGAACATAAGTCACCTTTTCTCTTCTATAAGGTGGCATAATTAAAATTTCTCGTTATCCTTCATCAACATTGTTTCCTCTTCTAGACGCCCCATTGAAATTTTGAATAGGTAAATAGGATTAAGTCTGATTCTAAAAATGTACTAGATGTCATATAATATAACTGATGTAAAACTATATTTATTTGAAAAAGATGTATTTGCAAAACTGTTTTATACAGGGTGGCCCATATGTAACTGACTTGTTTGTATCTTGAGTATTTGTGGAATGAAATAAAATACGTCCATTTTTTCATCTTAATCTTTTATTGAAACTTAGAAATTATGTATGAAAAATAATATCAGACAAATGTCCGCCTCTAGAATCCGCGCAAGCCTGAGCCCTCTTGATTAGTGTAACTCTGCTAGCAAAACAACCGCACGCGTTTATGTTTGCTCTTCGTATTTGGTCAAATTTCGATAACATTGACTAATAAAGAAGAGTTGTTGGAAGTTGAGAAAGAACTAAAAATAAACTCAGCACCCGGATATGACGGTATCACGGTTAAGGATGTAAATAATCTTGGAGAATACTTGATACCTGTTTTAGTACGATTAATCAATGAAACTATACAAAAAGGAATATTTCCATCAGAATTGAAAATAATTAAAATAACCCCACTTTTTAAGTCGGGAGATATTAAATGTATGAACAATTACAGGCCTATTTCAGTGGTGTGTGTATTCTCTAAGATTATAGAAAAATTAATAAAAAAAAGAATGTTATCTTTCATTGTTACTCACAATATATTGATTGATGAATTTCAATATGGTTTTATAACGAACAGTAGCACACTTAGTGCGGTTGTTGATTTTGTGGACTACATTTCAATGGCTCTAGATAAACAACAAATAGTTGTAGCTGTTTTCATTGACCTAAAAAAAGCTTTTGACGTAGTAAGCGTAGACATTCTTTTAGATAAATTGTTTAAAATGGGATTTAGAGGTGTTTCGTACAGCTTGATTAAGTCTTATTTATATGACAGAAAACAGTACATAAAGCTTGGAGACACTGTTAGTGAATGGTTATCTAGCACCTATGGAGTACCACAGGGGTCAGTTCTTGGACCTCTGTTATACAGTCTTTATGTACTGAATCTCAAGTTGGCCAATCTGAGGGGAAGATATTTTACCTTTGCAGATGACACTGTACTGGTATATACTGGAACAGATGAAATTGCTTTAACGAATCTTATTAATGATGACCTGAATAGTTATCTTAAATGGCTGTTTTCGAATAGATTAAAAATTAACATTGAAACAACAAAATACATTATATTTAAACAAAAAAATAAGATAGCAATAATCTAAATATTAACATAAATAATATAGCGTTAGAAAAAGTGTCAAGTATTAAATATTTGGGATTACTGATAGATGAAAGTTTAAATTGGTCACTTCACGTAAATGGAATTTGTGATAAAATAGTTTCAATGCTGTCTGCCTTATATAAGAGTCGAGATTATTTGTCCAACAAAAGCAAATTTCAAATTTATAATGCCTTCTTTCTTACACATTTTAGGTACCTCTTGCCAGTATGGGGTATGTGCGGTGAAGTTAATTTTAATAAAGCTCAAGTTTTACAAAATAAAGTTCTGAAAATATTGTTTAATTTTGATTGGCTTACAAGTTCTAATACACTTTATTCAAATTTAAATTTAAACAAATTAAGAGTGTTATTGGAGGTGGAACAATGTAAACTTGTTTATAAAATTATAAATAATCTACTAAAAAGTAACATAAATATTAGGTTCTACCATAACGTGCATGATCACCAAACAAGATCACTAAATAATGTTTATCAAATTTCCACAAGAACTAACATAGGTTTAAAAAATCCGATCACAGACGCAATTAAGAAATTTAATAATTTACCTCATTGTATAAAAGATTCAAATAACTATAGAAGTTTTATTAGAGAATTGAAAGATTATAAAAATGTTAATGAATTTATTTGTTGAAATTATGAGCAACATTGCAGTGTACCTGTAGTTCATAGATATTAATTATTGTCTTGTTATTCTCGGGGCCAGTGTTTGCAAACACTGATTGGGGAATTATTGTTGAAACTGGTTATACCTTTTGTATTATTGTGTTTAAATAAATTATTTAAAAAAAAAATAGCTCGAGTAAGACTAGAAGTAAAAATTTCAAGTAAAAACTAAATCACTCGTTATAACATCACACACCCTGTTCTTGAATTCGCAACCGATGCAACACCACGATCTGTAATTATGAGTGATCCAGTTTGCAGTTATTGTGACTCCTCTATCAGTGCTAGAACAAAAAGTGTTAAATGTCAAGGTTTTTGTGGAAAATTTTTTCATGCCGCTTGCCAGGGCTTATCAGCTGATGTAGTAAAAACCATTGAAAAGAGAAACGGTTTGTCGTGGAAATGTAATCCGTGCCAATCGTATACCAGCGAAGTGCACGAGATTCTAGATGCTAGACTATCCAGCTTGGTAAACGAAATTCATCAGCTATTTTCTAGTTTTCGTTCAGAAATTCTGGAGATTGCCGTGAAAAAAATTAGTACTGTTGAGTTACCTGAGATCAATGATAAGAAATCGTATTCGGCTATTACGAAAGGAAAATCGGCAATCATCATCAAACCTAAAGATGCAACGCAAAATACACAAGCCACTAAAGCTGACATGCTTCATTACGTGAATCCAGTCGCAGAAAATCTTCAGCTTTCCGGTGTCAAGAACGTAAAGATTGGGGGGATTCTAATTGGTTGCAATTCCGATGACGACAATCTCAAGCTCAAGAAAATTGCTGCGGAGAAGCTTTCTGACAAGTACGAAATCAAGGAGGTTGCTGGATTCAGTCCTAGAGTACGGGTTGCGGGTATGACTGAAAAACAATCTGCGGAAAACTTTATTAATTCCATTAAGTCTCAAAGTAAAGATGTGCTAAGTGAGAAATTTGAATGTAAGGTTATAGACATTAAGCCAATCAAGAAAAGAGTTGAAATTTTCCAAGCCATCCTTCAATTAGACTACGGTACTTATAATAAAATTATGTCTGTCAACAAGGGTAAGTTTTTCGTGGGGTATGATGTTTGTGGCGTGTATGATGAAATTTCTATCAAGCGATGTTTCAATTGCAGTGGTTTCTCCCATGTTTCTGGTCAATGTAAGAGCCAAACTCACTGTCCTCGGTGTGGCGATAGCCACTTACTGAAAAACTGCAAGGCCACGAACTTAAAATGTATTAACTGTGTTAGAAATAATCTAGACAGAAATACCAACAATGACATGTCACATGCGGCTTGGGATTCTAGGTGCCCATGTTACTTACAAAAAGTTGAGGAGTTTAAAGCTAGGTTATTTTTTTCTTAGTTCGGATTTTCCCGGTGAAATCCCTTATGAACAGTTAAATACTCAAAATTTTGTAAGAGTTTCTACTTCTACCTTTTCTGATCGTCGCATCTCTGTTTACTACCAGAACGTACGCGGTATGAACTCTAAGTGTAAAGAATTCTTTGTAAATGTCGCTATGTCTGACTATGATATCATCTGTTGTACTGAAACTTGGCTGCAGTCTGCAGTACTTAGTTCTGAATTATTTACTGACAAATATGTTGTATTTAGAGCGGACAGAAATTTCTCTGCGATGGGGTGTTCTAGAGGAGGTGGTGTCTTAATTGGTATTCGTAATCAACTTGCTGCATCAGAGGTAAATATGACTTTTATCAGAGACGATATTCCCAGTATTGACATAATTGGAATCAAACTTAGATATAAAAATGAAGTGACTTATTTCTTTGTGATATACATACCGCCTGACACGAGTACTTCCTGCTATGAAAGATTCTTTGAACATCTAGAATCGCTTGATTACCTCTTTGGCAAAAGTATTTATATACTAGGTGACTTTAATGTTCCCGAATTTGTTAATGAAAATCACCTCCAATCTTCTCACAAGCAGGAAACAATTCAGTCATTTATGGGTTTCTTCGATCTTTCTCAATTCAATGATGTTCGGAATGAAAATAATAGGCTATTAGATTTAGTGTTATCAAATAAACAATGTAGCGTCGTTAAGGCTTATGATGACCTACTACCTGAGGATGTTCACCATCCTCCGCTTGTCATGATAATCAACATGAGCTTCCATTCTAAAAAGAGTATCAAATGCGCCAGAGAATTATATAATTTCAGAAAAGCCAATTTTGTAGCACTATATGAACAAATAAGCTTGGTTAATTGGACGTTTCTTGACAATGTAACAGATGTAAACGTAGCTTTGGAAACATTTTATAACATTCTTCGTAAAATTTTTAATATGTGTGTCCCTAGGACAAGTCTCAGATCTCTCAAATTTCCAGTTTGGTTTAACGGTGAAATGATTAGAGACATTAAAAGAAAAAACTTGCTACACAAAAAGTTTAAAAAGGATAAAAGTTTGATCACATACACTGAGTTCAAAGACTTAAGGACCAAAATTAAGCGCGATGAGCGTAACGCATATCAAAAATATCTAGTAGATATCCAAAGTAGACTATCTCAGGATCCGAACAATTTCTGGTCATTTATCTGTAATAAAAGGGGACAAAATTCCACAATCAGCCAAGTAAACTATAATGGTAAGCAGTATGACAAACCCAATGAAATTGCTAATGCTTTTGCACTATTTTTTCAATCTGTATATACTATGCCTTCGAACGCAACTATCAATATCAATCAATCAATATCAATATTTCGGACTTGCATACTAACATAATACTTCAGAGCTTTTCCGAAGAAGAAGTTTTTACAGTGTTAAAGCAAATGAAAAATAAATTTACCTCCGGACCCGATGGAATTCTATCATTTTTAGAGCGTGACTGTGCCTACGTCTTAGCTCATCCCTTGACAAAGATCTTCAACCTATGTTTAAAGACTGACACGTTTCCTGAAATTTGGGGCGAATCAAAGGTGCGTCCCATTTTCAAGAAGGGTGATAAACTACAGGTTGAAAACTATAGACCGATAACCCTAGTATGTATCTTTTCCAAGGCCTTAGAAACTTTGCTTCATAATTTCCTATACCACAATACACATGCCCAAATAAGTACTTCTCAGCATGGCTTTATGAAGGGTAGATCAACCATAACTAACCTAGCCTGTTTTACTCAGTCAGTCTCCTCTGCATTAGATGCTAATAGCCAGGTGGATGTAATTTATACAGATTTTAGTAAAGCATTTGACAAACTTGATCACAGTATTCTGTTAACGAAGCTGAGCTATTTTGGATTCTCCCCCAAGCTGTTATCCTTTCTTAAGTCATATCTATCAGGAAGAAAGCAATATGTTGAATATGAGGGTGTCAAATCCATTGAATTCTTCCCAACCTCAGGGGTACCTCAAGACTCCTGCTTAGGTCCTTTGCTTTTCATACTGTTCATAAACGATATTGTTAGCGACATCGACAGCAGCCACTTAATCTATGCTGATGATCTGAATATTTTTTCCAATGTCGACTGCAGCACTAACTGTGCTCACTTACAAAAAGACCTAGCCAAAATAGTTGGTGGTGTGCTGTAAATCGACTTCCAATTAACTACAGTAAATGTAGTGTTATGTCTTACACCAGAAAGCTAGATATTATTGCATTTGACTACAGAATTGGCAATCATTCTCTGCTGAGAGTACAAGAATGCAAGGACCTGGGTGTGATTTTCGACATGTCACTTAGCTTCAATCCTCATATTGAGTACCTTATTAATGCTGTCAACAGATTATTAGGATTTGTAATACGTAACTCAAAGGAATTAAGTAACAAACATGCCATGATTATGGTTTATAATTCATTCATACTGTCTAAATTAGAATATGGACGGCTAATATGGAATCCATGCTATGTTACAACTTGTGGCTCTCTGGAGAAGATTCAGCGGACATTTCTGAAATTTCTTTCATTCAAAATTGATGGTACGTACCCACCCATTGAGGTCCCACAGGAAGAAGGAAGACCTGTTACGTAAGCACAAGTTTATCAGTCTTGATAACAGAAGAAAGATTCACTCGCTAATATTCCTGCATAAAGTAGTGCATAGCAGTTATGCATCAGTTGTCCATCATTTCTAGCACAGATTAAATTTAATCCTCCAAAATTTGTTACTCGCAATACACTCACTTTTTACCTACCTACCCCACGAACTAACTTACTGTTGCACTCACCTTTGTACTCGATGTGTTCATGTTATAATAGTCTACAGAGTACATTTGATTTGTTCAACACAAGTATTTCGAACATTAAGAGAGTTTGCAGTGAAATGATTTAGTTTTTAGTTTTCGTTGTATTTTTATATGTTTTTTTTTACTATTTCTATTGTTGTTTTGCCACCAGTAATTGGTTAACACTGTTGGTGGTGGATTTCAATAAATAAATAAACTACATTTTCCATCACTTTTTGGTAGGTTTCGGGAGGAATATTTTCAATCGCTTCCATAATATTGTTCTTCAGCTGCTCTACAGTATTTGGTTTGTTGCCATAAACCTATTTTTTTAAATCCCCATGAGAGAAAATCAGGAGCTGTTAAATCCGGTGATCTTGGTAGCCAGTTGACATTACCAAATCGAGAAATTAAACGTCCCGGAAATATTATTCGCAAAAGATTTATTGTTTCCCTAACTGTGTGACAAGTTGCTCTGTCCTGCTGAAACCACATGTTTTGCAGGTTAAATTGTTGGATTTGAGAAGCCGGAAAGTTTTGCACCATATCACGGTAGCGCTCGCCAGTGACAGTAAAAGAATTGCCTGCAGCGTCTTTAAAGAAGTACCTAAGGTCCAATGACATCTCCATACCAAACACCGTACCAAACTGTGACTCGGCGAGGATGTAGTGGTCGTTGATGGATGACGCGAAGGCTCTCTAATGCCCAGATACAATTCTGCTTATCAACAAATCCGTTCATATAAAAGTGGGCTTCATCGCTCTTTATCAGTTGTCAGTAAAAATCGTTATTTTGGGTATTAAGCTGCAATATTGCATGAACGTATTGTCGGCGACTTCCATGGTCACTAGGCTGTATAGTTCTTGGGTTAACTGAATTTTGTATGGCCGCAAATGCAAGTCTTTAAAATAGAGCATAACGATGCGCGACAAATACCCAGTTCTTGAGAATGATGTCTGCTAGACGTCTCACGGCGCTCCACTACACTTTCACGAACTCTATCGATATTTTCCGGATTACGAACAGTTCGAGCACGGCCCGACCTTGGCAAGTGTTTAACTTCACCTGTTTTTTCAAATTTCCGTACCAACTGACGAATGGTGTTGACACTGGGCACATTATTTCGACCTAAATATTGTCGTAGCTTCCGAATTGTTGCAACAATCGACTCATTATTTAAGTAAAAGGTTTTAACAATACGGACGCGTTGTGGGATCGTGTAGCACTCCATGAGGAATTGGAGGTGGAAGTGCTTTAAACAACTACTACGGCGCCACCTACAAAAACTGCGTTTATCAAAAATGGCGCGTAATTTAAGTCAGTCAGTTATACAGGGTGACTTTGAAGTTGAGTCATTAATTTTCAGATAATGATTGTAGAAGGAAGATAAACCAAAATATGTGTGTAAAAATTAAAAAAAAAATGTTACCTTGTTTTATAAAGTATCCTCCCGACAAGTATTTCAGTGCGGACCTGTATTTGTTCATGCGGTCTTGGAGCACCGGCATGCCCTCCTCTGTGAGGTCTTAAGTCACCTGATTCACGAGCCCTTTGTACTATATTAACAAAGGCACGAGGGGTTGGTTGCACTCGATTAAATAAGAATCATGTCCACAAGTTCACAAGTTCAGCATTTTCGTAAACATGTGCCATTTTTTATTTCGTTTGAGCCACGCAACAAACACCACTATTCACTCACGCGTTACCGACTTAAACATTGACTGACATCGTGATAAACGTTTCAAATTCTTTCGCTTTTTTGTTTCCGATGCGATGAACCGATAAGGCGGATTATATCCGTTGTTGCCAAACACGAGCACATAATATTATTATTGAGACAGTGCGGTACTCAAACTTCTAAAGGGCTATAACTT